TTGGCAAACAGGGGCACTCAAACCCCTATTCCTACTAGGTTACCACTCGGGTTAATAGCCAACAAACATTGGCGAATCAAGGGGATCATCCGGCCTCCGCCGCCTGGTACCTCTACTACTCAATCTAGAGTGTGACGGAGACTAAGTAACTCCTATGTTAACTTATGGTCACCCACTCAAACTTAGTTTGGAGCCTAAAAGGTATGAGTCGTCCGCCTGTTTTTAGCAAACAGAGGCTCTCAACCACTACTCCTGCTAGGTTAACAACTTATGAGTTAAAAGCCAACAAACATTGGCGAATAAAGGGGAACAACCGGTACCCACCGCTTGATACCTCTACTACTCAGTTCCTTGGCAACTAGGTAACAATCATGTTTACTTGGTCAGACCACTTTCCTACTTGGTTAATTTTACAAATGACAGGACCGCCTGCCTAAAGGGGATCCAGTCTTTAAAATGGTTCGAATACCGATTGAATAAAAGGCCGACTGATCGTCTATCCTGGAAACCGACAACCAGTCGTCCAGGGGCATAGGCGACGTGACTAACTATCCGTACCTGTCTGCAACTATCGGCCATGTAAAACAGTCGGTATAGTGAACAATTGGATATCAGAATATTCAATACTTAGACAAATTCGAAGCAAAACAAAAAATTCATTAAAAAGAAGCCGGTCATTGAAGACCGGCAAAATATTCAGAGCCCCGGCCCCCTGGCCGGGTAAATACAAAACAAACGGCACGCAGGCCGTGGAAAGAATACATAAAGCTTAAGAAGGGGGCAGATCTTCAATATTAGTAGCTGCCGCCTGGTCAGCACTCTTCTTGCTGGACTCGGCTTCAGCTGCATTCTTTTTTGATGCATTACCCCCAAGCGGCACAAGCGCCACTACCGGCTCCTCCTCCTCCAACGCCTCCTCCAACGCCTCTTCCTCAGCAGCCGCCAGGATCTCCTGATTATATGTGTTAGAACACTGGCGGTACGTTTTTTCCCAAGAGGCAAAGTCGGCATTGGGGAAGAGGCGGCCCCAAGTCATGCGCTGGATTTGAGCAGAGTCTTCCATCATCTCCCGGACCAGCTCTTTCTTCTCTTGCTCGGCCTTTTCCGAGAGCTCCTTAGTAAGACTCTTCTCCTGGGTCACCAGGCGTTCCTTTACGTTGGCCAAGGATTTCTCCAAGGCTTCGTATGAGTACATCTTTAGGCGAAGAGGTTTCAGCTCGGCCTTGAGATTGGTGATGGTCGCCTCCAGCTCGCCATTCCTCTTTTGGGCCGCCTCTAACTCAGCCCGAATAGCGGCGGTAGCCTGCGCCTGATAATAAAGAATATCAATGGTCAGAACTTCATTTTGGGCAATTTGAAACATTGCCTTATCACAGTTAGAGGCGGCCATGGCTTTTGCAGCCTTTACCTCTTTGTTCTTCCGGTCAAGCGGCTTGCGAAGGTCGTTCACTCGGAGCAGGGCCTAAGTAAAAAGGAACAGGCGTCAGTTTCCAAACAAAAAAGAAAACAGGCGTCCAGGAATTCAAATACTCAAAAATATGCTAAGTATACCTCAGCAAGGACCCCTGCAATCCCGTCTAGGTCAAGGGTTCCGACACCCGTGACCGCCTCCCTTTCAGCTGGAGGAACGACCTTGATCATAGACTTGGCCACCTCGACCAAGTCAGGCTCCTGAGGGCCGGCTGCATCAAGCATAAACAAACGGATTAGACCTAGTAAAAAAGGGAGCAAGTCTAAAATTTACAAGGACAACTTCATACTTCTAGGCGGCCCAGCTGGAGTTTTAGAAGAAGTGGCCGGCTGTTTCTCAGCCGCCACATGTTTCCTGGAAGAACCAGGAGAGCTCGCAACAGTCGTCCTCCGGGCCTTGGGGTCCGGCTGTTGGGAAGAAGAAGCTCTTGGAGCGCCCGTCTAAAAAAGAAGAAAAAAGTCAGTATATGCATAAACAACTCCAAAAAGAGGGTGAAAGGTTCGAAGCCCACCAAGGGTGCCCCCTTCTTGGGGGAGTCGGTTGAAGCTTGTTGCATGATGGAGGCCCGCAACATGGCCGCCGCAGTCTTGGAGGCGGTAATTTTGCTCATGGCGTCCGCTGCAAAAACAAACAGCAAAGTTAATAGAAGTTATAACAAAAATGCACGGAACAGCAGAGTATTCGACAGGCCGACTACCTCTTGAGGACCGACTGCTGAGGCCACAGGCGGCCAAAAAGTACTCGTCGTAGAGCCATTTGAAGCTCGGGACGCAGTGCAGGGGTACTTGCTCTCGTACCCCTGAAGTAGAGTCGACCCTCGACTCTACTTTAAAGAGTCCTTTATCTAGGATCTCTTTCTTAGCCTTGGGGGGAACAAGCGGCATGCTGCGGCCGCCTGCAAGAAGGGGCGGATTCCTGTTCCACCTGTTGAGGCGCTTGTTCAGCTCCGTGTCTGAACTCTCAATGATGAAGAAGGTGCACCGCCAGTCCTTCCATTTGTTTGCTTTACCTCTTGACATGAGGTAGCCCCTGTGGCTCGTCAATTGATACCAGCCGGTACCGCCTGCCTTAGGGGTCCGGCTGAGATAGTTCATGTGGGCGAAAGCCTCGAAGCTCGGCTCCACCCCGTGCAGTTCGCACCCGGCCACATAGCCGAGTACGTTGACCCAGGAGTTCGGGGCTAACTGCCATAACCCCAACTCATACCCATCCAAGATCCGCTGAACAGCCGGATGTAGTGGAAAGCGCAGCCCAGCCTTGATGGCCGCCTCGTAGCAGCCAAAGCAGGCGCTATCATAACTGGTACCAGCCGGCCAGACGACTGTGTCTTCTGGATCCGGCACAAACACTAAAAAGCCGGGGCCCATTGTGTGGTTTGCGATAAAGCTCTCCACTTTCTCTTGCATGGCCGTGATCCGGCCCCGGGGTACCGTGCAGTAGTAGGGGGTATTTTGCTCTCGGTAAGAGGCGGATGGCTCCGCCCAATTGTCCCCCTTCTCAACTGCGTGAGAAAGCCTCGCCTCTTGCAGGCGACTGTTTTTCTCTTCTGTGTCCAGAGAAGCATGGCCAGAAGAGCTAGACTCGGAATCGTCCTCTGACGAGTCCGAAGAGGACGACTCCTCCCCTCTCCCGGAGGGGCCCGCCTCCTCTCCTTTAAAAGGAGCAGGAGAGAATGAAGAATTGTCAACTGAGAAATGGGAAGGGGTCACTTTGATTCCTCCCTCAGAGCAGCCGGCTTTCAAGCCGCTTTGTTTCACTTCCACATCTGGCGCCTGGTCAGATGTTTCACTAATCGGCACCCTGCGGGAGGAGCCGTCTGAATTTGAGATCCTGGCAGTCTTTTTTGTTCTGGCCATCATGCTCTGCATAGACACAGATATAGTCGGACTTTGTATAAAGGGCAAAGATGGGTCCGGAAAAGGGCAGGCGGCACTCCTAGTCCTAGATTCAGCCGTCCCCGGTGACCGACTGATCACTAACCTAGGTCGTGTCGTGTGCTTCCGTGGTGCCATTTCAAAAAAAAAAAAGAATAAAATAAAAAGAAAATTAAGAGTAAGAGAACCGACAGTTACTTGAACGAGTGATGATTGATGAAGTTCTGAAAATCCTTTGCAGACGGCTTGTCAGAGCAGGCGGTAGGCAGAAAAGTCTAAAATGTCAGAGCAAGTTCAGGGGTCCGAATGTTCTCTCACAAAGTTTTCAAGTGTGAAAATGACCGAAGTCAACACTCCTTTATATAGGCGAAGTGAGAAGGCGAAGGGTCACTTCCAGAATTCAAAATTTGGGCGGGAGAATCTCTCGGCCCTTCGCCGAGTGACAACTGTAGCAGGTCGTCGCCTGTTACAGTTCGACACCTGTCACAGGTAACACGTGACCAGTCACGTGCCACCTGTGAGGGGCAAATGATTAGGGGATTTTGCTCCCACCAATCGGAATGTGCCACGTGGGCCAATCAGGTCCTGCCAAGTGTCCCCCAATTGGAACTGTCAGGGCTTGCCACGTGGCACGCGCTTATTTGTCCACCTTGGACCTATTATGTCATGACACGTGGCATACTCCATGCCTAATGGAGAAACCGGCCACCCAGGCCCAACTTCCGAGGGAAGCCCAATCAGCCCTAGGTTAACCTAAACCTAGGATTGGCACGTTTCCCAAGGTTATAAATACCTCCCTTAATCCTCATTAAGGAGGGATGACACATTAATTACAGAGATTACACAGAGTTAATAGGCTGATCACGCTAACAAAGCAGATTACGCTAAAAGCTCACATTAAACACTCTCTCCTAGAGAGACCCAATCACTTTAATTTCCGCATTAATTACTCCTTAATCAAGTACTAACTTGACCGTTGGAGGCGGAGCTCCCACCACCAGGAGTCTCCGTTGTTTTGCAGGTACAGACGTCCGGTTCCAGTCTCGGAATTGTAACTCTCCCGCAGGACATCAGAAAACCCCGAAACAGTTAATGACTTCAATTCTTTTTTATTAAATATTTCATATATGAGTGATTTTCATGTCATATATGGTGACCAAACTCAATGGATATGAATATAATATAATTTAATAAAATCATTGTATACAACATGCTTAATGACATCTATTCATATAAAACAATTTTATAAACGAGTGTTTGAGATATCGAAAAATATATGTGATATATTTTCCGTATTGATCTTATTAGCAGAATAATATGTTTAGATTTATTTATATTAAGATAATATTTAGTGAATAAATCTTTAGGATATATGGTTATAGTAGTATATTTTTTAGAAATATTGTTTCCTATTTTATAATCTTAGATTTTGTATAAATACTCAACCTATTGATAAATAATAAACAAGTCATTCAATTCTCTCTTTCCTCCTAATTTGTCATCACTTTCATGTGATGTATGGTGACCAAACTTAATGGATATGAATATGAATATGATTAGTTGAGTGCAACATTAAATTAAATCATACCACTGTATTCCGTGAAAAATAATGATTCAAATAAGTATTATCCGGGGGGTAAAAGGGATAGTTTTACCATGGGACTTCCATTGTCGCTGTCCATTTTTCTGGAATTAATATCCATCCTCTTGAAAAAAGAAGTAATCTGTTCAAAGAAAAACAACTAATTAATAAGTACTAAAGAAACAGAAAATAATTGAATCATTTGTGACTCAATGAACCTAAGGCAAATTTCATATTATAGCTAAATTTATGTTATATAAGATACAAGAGACGTCTAAAACTTTAATAGGTACACCGTAATTATACATCAAGAAAAATCATTCAAATACGTACCCATTTCATCCTAATATGAATTTCATACTTCCCTTTTTTTTTTTTTTTTTTTTATTATTATTATTATTATTATTATTATTATTATATAGTTTTACATTTTGATGATGCTAAACATATACTATTAACAATAAAAATAAAATTGTATTTTCAAAGATATATTGAAGCAAGTTTATTACGTTCTGACGTGAATATATTTAATTTTTTCTTACATATAAATCACAATGATGGTTAAAAGTGCATGATCCCAAATAAAAAAGGAAAAGGATATAAGAAGAATAAAAGTACGTCAAAAATAAAAAAAATAAACTTTTCCATTAAAAAAAATAAAAAAATAAGGTTGGTCTAAAAATATGAATATTGGCAAATTATTAAAAAAACTGACCTTGGGACTATTAACAGGGGAAGAAGCTGTATCTTCTAAGGAATCATCAAAAGGAATTTTCTTCTTGAAATTTAATTTCTTAGGCATTTTTTGTAAAACACCAAATGAATTACAACCTCCTGCTGGATTGATACTGTATTTGTTTTTCCATTCGGGTCCAGAACCGGCATCAGACACCATAGAATAACTCATATAACTTGAACAGCTAGTGCTGTTTTCATGAACATATCCTTCCTTATTGTAAGCCTCGAAATCTTCGATATACTGCGTCCACCCGCTCTCCTCCGGTACACTATCTTCTTCGAGGTTCGGTTCCGATGTTGTAATGACTTTGTAAAGGGAGGAAGAAACAGAGTTTTCCATGATCAACTAGATCAAAAAATAAGCAGCAGTCAAGAAAAAAAAAAAGAGTTAAGGACTTAACTACTTGTATATGTAATAGAAGTAGACTTTTTTTTTTTTTTTTTTTTTTTTTTGCCGGCCTTTAAAAAAGTACATAAAAATAACTAAATTACTGTTATTAAAGAATAAAATTCAGGGGAAAAGGTCATCAAAATTGTAGAATCTTTGTTGCAAAGAACAAAAGTAGTTAAAGAACCAATAATTTGAAGCTAAAATAGTGACTAAAAATGAAGGATATGTCACGTATTTGGTAAGAAAGTTTAAAGGTAAGCCTCCAAATAGTTGACCATTTCATATTGTCGTTGAGAAGTATCTTTCACAAAATTTCAATTTGCATAATATTTAGACTTTTGGGCTTACTTTTAAACCGAAAGAATCTTTCATATAATGACACAAAGAAAAAGTAGATTAAAGCTAGTTTAATTAATTTTTATATATTGACTAATCTTTTGATTTCTGATTAATTGTAATTGTCCATCCATTATTGTTTAATTGTTATAAGTTGAGAGTCATAGAATTTTAAGAGGCTGAGTTAAATTTAATATGATGAGATAACAAAGGTAATAAAAAGAATAATACGTAACTTAATTGATGTACTTGAGATAGTAAAAAGATTGAAAAAACAGATATTGATGTAGGAGAAAAAAGGAATTATGTTTGTTGATGCTGAACGGGATTATGCAAGAGATAGATAATATAGTGCAATCTATCTATCTATCACATATTCCCGTTCAACACCATTTTCACGTTCATTTTGTTTGAGAAAAGATGGCATTAGGGCATGTACGGTTATTGCACGTTCCTACTAGATACCATTGCGGATATTTTCACAAAAGGCCTACGTTGTCAACTATTCTTGAATTTTAGATCCATTTTTAGCGTTCGACCTCCTCCCACTATGACTGCGGGGGTGTGATAGAGAATATACGTAAATGATATTCTTGTCATAGGTATAAAGATATATTTTGTGAATATTGAATCTTCAACTTTTGAGATTTCTTAACAAGATTATGACTTATACTTGTAACCCTATATATATCAAATTAACGGAACTGATGGACCATATGACAATGAGTAGCTTTTTTTTTTTTTTTTTTTTTTTTTTTTTTTTTTTTTTTTTAAGGCTTGAAAAGAAATGTAGATTAGAAAGAAGTGGAGGGAGTAATATGGTGAATATTTTCTTTCTTTTTGTTTACATAGTTTTCCAATCAATAAAGACACTTCAAACAAATTTAGTTTGTTCCCTAAGAAAAAAAAATCATGACGATTCTTAGCCCCCAATTATTTTAGGCATACAAATGTACATATCTAAAAAAAGTGATTATGGTACTACAAGCCTACACAAAAATGTAATTTATAGTAAAAATAAATTTGAGCCTACAATATATTTTTTTTTCTGTTATCTTAATTTATCCTTTCCATCTCTCTAATGGTTGCAATTAAATTCATTTGACACCACAATTCAAAAATTCATTCATTCTCATATTTAATCATTCTCTTTTCTTCCTAATATTTTTTAGGCAAAATCAACTTTTTAGTCGATATTTCTAACCATTATCTCCACCTTACTTAGGTTGCTCCCAATTTTCATCATCAAAAGATAAATTACATTGATTAATACATTCATTAATTATTCAAGGATCAAATTCATCTTTCTTAATAAACATTCCTATATTCTTTATTGTTCCTTCTCAAATTTTGAGATTGAGTGAAAATTACATATATGCATGTACGTAAGTTGGATAAGAAATTCATTAGAACATTTGGGCATGAAAAGGATTTTGTTGGTGCAACGACTTCACCTATTCAGGTAAAGTCATCAAAGGATATATGATTGATTGCATGAAATTATCGTCGGAGATTGCCATTGTTGTTCGATCACATAGTTGATAGCGTATAATTTCATTCAATCCTTCAGTCGGGTACACATAGAGTTGGGTATAATATCCATGTTACATTTTCCTAGAACATAATGACTACAAATATAAGATCTCGATCGATGAAGGGACCGCCGGAGAGAGTAACGGAGGAGCCTATAACCCTTAAGAGTTCCCTATGCACGGTAACAAGTGTTTTTCTAACAAATATTGCGGGGTATTGGAGAAATGTTAGTGTATTGTGGTGTAAAAATCTAATGAACATTTCTTTTAGCATCATTATAGATGGATGTGAAGGTGAAATGGAAAGGCAAACAACATGCAAGGTAGAGTTAAAACCTTGGCATTTTTGGACAAAGAAAGGGTACAAATCTTTTGAGATGGATCACAATAAGGTACCGGAAGAATGCAGTCACCAACTCGACGTGTATTGGGATCTACGATCAGCCAAGTTCGCTGGTAGTAGCCCCGAGCCTTGCTCAGACTACTACGTAGCGCTTGTGTCCGATGAAGAGGTTGTGTTATTACTAGGGGATTTCAAGAAAAAGGCATATAAGCGCACAAAGAAAAGGCCAGCCCTAGTAGATGCAATCCAATCCTTAAAGAAGGAGACAGTGTATTCTAAGAAGAGTTTCGCGACAAGGGCACGTTTCACCGAAAGCAAATGGGAGCACGATATAGTGGTAGAGAGTTCAACCACGGGAACTAAAGACCCGGAGATGTGGATTAGTATCGATGGAATCGTTCTCATTCATATCAAGAACTTGCAATGGAAGTTCCGAGGGAACGAAACAGTGGTGGTTAACAAGACGCCGATTCAGGTGTTGTGGGACGTACATGCATGGCTGTTTTGTAATCCAGGAACAGGGTATGGATTGTTCATATTCAAGCCGGGAGTATCCGAAATGGACACTGATAAGGAAGGAAGCAATAGAAGTGGAGCTAGTGACAATAGTTGTGGTAGTATGTTTTACTCAACACAAAGTACTCAAACCAAAATAGTTGATATTTGCCTGTTATTACAAGCTTGGAAAACTGACTAAAATTGAATCATACAATTCTAATTATTCATATTATCAATAGTATTTGCTTTGTCATGTAAATAAAATTTATTTCAATATTTATTATTATGGTTTACATAATTAGATCCCTACATTTCTACTTTTATAATTAGAAGGGTTGGTTTAGAGGTGTCAATTCAGGATTTTGGGTCAGATTTAATTGGTTTGGTAGGGTTGGGTCTACATCTAATTAGTAGGGTTGGGTCTATTTCTATTTCTATTTCTAGTTTAAGTCCTATTAAATCATTGTGCCCATGCAAATTGGAATTTGAATCTAGTCACTTCTTGGCTAAGTTGGATTTTGTTGGGCCGAGTCAATTTTTAATACCTTTAAGTCGATTTTACTTATTGTAACATTCAACAATAATGTGCAGGAACAATACTATTACTACTATCACTGATTAAGCACATTTAAAAAAAAAAAAAAAAAAGTCACCACCTTCACTAATTAGCATCATCATGTATTATCCCTATCGTTAACTGTCGCCAACTAGCCTAGTCATTATCGAGAAAGGTATTTTGAGTAGACCTATCAAACGGGTTGGAGGATAGGGTTTGTGTCAAATTCAACCAGGGTGATTTCGAGTTCGGGTCCAGCAATGCTTGTCCTAACCCCAAAGCCTCAGTTCTGGGGTTTCGGCTTAAGTAACAGGGCTGACTGTAGGGCATGAAAACAGACAAGTAAACACAAGACCCAATGGCTCCAAGGGTCTCCAATCTACCAGCTAAAGTGTAAAAACAAAGAGCCGGCCCAGGTTAATATCGGAGAGAAACTTGGCCTGTTTATATCAGGGCAAATTCGTCATTTCGCGTATAAAAGTAAGGGTGATAATGTCCAAAGCAAATGGACGGTTATCTGCAGTTTGAAACCATTCCTCTTTACACCAAGAACATAAGTACACTTGCCAAATATACCTGGTTTAAAATAACTTTATACTCTCTGAAAAGATTACTGACTAAATATTGACAACATGTTCTAACCTACTGAAAAAACCAAAAGGCATTACCCTATCTGGGCCTCAGATGACCTCTGCTTCTTCCTCTGACCTAAATCAGGCTTTCAAGAGCTACCAAAACCACCTTCATTCTCTACCAAGTGTAAGTACAATATCCTGCTGGTTTCAGCCCTCGTCATCAATAATATGTGAGGGGCTATCCAAATCTCCCGTTTCTGCAGAGGCAAAAGAATGGAACGAATCTACAGTTGAAGTACAGGAAATAGAGTCCTCGGAATCTGACACAATATGTTGTTGATGTAGAAAGTCATGTTCTTCTTGTTCTTCGTCTGGTTCTGATGCTTCTGACCCAGAAGCTCCAAGCAAAAGTTTATTAATGGCAGCCTTGGCAGCCTCAGAGAACCACTCATCCTCTGGAAGTGTGCTGAAAAAAAAAAAAAAAAAAAAAAAAAAACAGAATCATAAGAAAACAGCCATATATATTAGTTTAAAACCCATCAGAAGTAAATGGGATACCTCTGCGGATCAATGCCTCTTGCAGAAAAGGTTTTGACTGCACGAGCAATGATTCCAGATGCTAGCTGTAGCACATGTCTTGATGAATAGCCAGCAAAGCGTGCAATTTCAACAGTGAAATGCATATCAAGAGTCAACTGCCATGATAAACAATCAAAAAAAATTACTCCGTATTTCATTTGTTAGCAACCAAGTGTTTAAGGGAGGCACAAATAACAATTTACTGAAGTCATACACCACCTCAATTTTGATTTTGCACACCAAGCAGTATCAGATTAGAAGAAAAGGCATGCACTAATCTTCCAACACTCTTTGTTAATATGTCTGGGATCAGACTTCAAATGAGGTAGGTTTACAGTATGGTCAGTTAATAATGGGCAGCAAATCTTAGGCGACTCACACACTAACTTATAGTGAGATTAACAAGTTACTTGAATAATAACAGGTCACTCGAGTTTATTAAACAGTGTTACTTGGTATCACAATGAGTTATTACAAGATGGTTGATTTTAACCAAAAAATTGATGCGTCCTTGAATGAAGAAATACAAAAAAACCATACAAAATTAATTACCTGCTGCAAGCCAAATGGCTTTAATGGAACTGATTCATCCTCAAATACACCCCAAAATTCCTGTTCATCAGACAACCACATGACTATCGTTTCTGTCAGCCTTGCCAGTAGAACTTTCTGAAGCTTCTCTTTTCCAAGCAACACATCCCCAGCAACAGTAGCTAATTGTTGAAGCCTTGCAAATAAAGCCTGTGAAAATTTCAGGTCAGCTTCTTTTACAAATGAGATCTTGAGTAATACAATTCAGTCAGGCCACTGCATATCTGTGAATGACACGATACACCAATACTGCAAGGAAACAGCTAGCAGTTGGAGTTTCTGTGTTTCAAAAATATTCACGGGATCCCTATAATGTATTAAACCCCCAATATATTTTCAAAGGTTTAAAAGTTCTTGAAAAAAAAATAGTGGTTTTGACTTTTGAATGCCAACTACAGCACAATATTGACATAAGCATGTTAAATTGCTCTACAATCACTAAAAGATGACTTCGTCACTGTTGTCTCATTCAGAGAACCAAATCAATGGCACTATTTTCCAAGAAAGGCCAAATACATAATCCTGAGCTCTTAAAAGCATATCGCTGCTTATTATCTCTACAAAATATTTGGCTGCCGTAGAGCATTAACTGAAGGCTTATTTAAAAAACTAGCCTCAGAAAGGCTTATGAAACTATTATTATCTGTCCTTTTTCATTTTAGATGATGCTTGCTTTGGGTTTTATAGGATCTTTCTCAGCAGGACTGTGACTTGCCCTTTCTCTAAGTCTTAAGATATTTATGGGACGTTTGGTTGTGAAGCTCCAGAAAAGGAGAGAAGAACTCGGTTGTTTTTTCTGTGAGCCATGGGCATTAGGTTTTATTTGTTCATTCTCTACCTTCATTCCTCCAAAATTGGATCACCCCTATCAGTTACTCTTGAATCCCCCCCCACCTGGATTCCACTTGGACATCCTCTCTGAAATTGAGTCATCTGAGTATTTGGCAAATGGGTCATTCGGGTCGGGTCGGGTCATTTTGGGTCGACTAACATTCGGGTCGGGTTGGGTCAATTGGGTTTAGGGTATGGCTCAAGTCAGTTATCGGGTCGGGTCATATCAATTCAGTTTATGAGCTTGGCTACGGTTGGAGATGAACAATTTGAGTCATTTTTGGCACTAGACATTTTTAGTTCAGTTGTAAGGTAATTTTAGTTCAGGTTATTTCGGGTATCAGGTCTATTCGGGTCAAACACTTCGAGTTAACTTTTGGTCAGGTCAATTTCAGGTCGGGTCATTTCAGGTATCGGGTCAACTTCGGGTCGGGTACAATCGGGTCAGGTTGATTTCGAGTCAATGTTTTTGGGTCAATTTCGGATCACGGGTCGGGTCATCGGGTTTGGGTCAGAATTGTTAGGTCTACCCCATAGTAGTATTCACCAGACACAAAACAATAAATTGAACAGTGAGAAAAAAAAGATTGGCCAAGATCTCATCTAGAATAGATTGGCCAAAAAAGGTAGGCCAAAATCCTAACACCTAAAATAATCTCATCTATGCACAAGTCTCTCCTCAAAAGTACAATTCTGGAAAAAAAATTGCGGTCGGATTTGTTAGTTGGTATCATGATCCGACTACCAATGGTCCAATACAAGGCCTTGTGGATAAAACCCGAGAAAGCTGGCAGTGGATATGGAAAAAAATTAGAACGGCATGTGTTAGTCAAGAAGGGGAAGGCTTAGGCCATCTCGCTTGCTGCCCTACTTATTGTTATCTAGGATCTTGATTCCTGATTATACTTTACGTCAAACTTAGTGAAATTTTAACTAATAACGTCTCCTTTTGCTGATAATATAATACTATTCTCAAGTATACTGAACAGAAATTTCATCAAGGTCCAAAATGAGACGTGACTACTAGCACACAAACAGAGTGAATAGCATCATTAAACATAAAGTTTAAAATAAGTAACCAGAACGATGTAGAAATTAAAAGTCAAAGTAGCTAACTGTTTAACATGAAGCTAGAGCACCTAGAAGAGAATTACCTGGAATGGAAGTGAAGGAAGCGGAACTGATTCCCACTGTAAGTTCTCCCCTTCTTCATCAACATATATTCTGGCATCAAGCCGTGAATTCCCCTCTCTAGAATATATGAAGTTCAAAACATATTGCCGGCAAAAATGATCCCTGAGCTTGTCTAGAGAATGCTGAAGTTGACGTCTCCAATCCTTGAACTCAACAGCATTACCTCCTATAGACGAGATGCTCTCATGGGATCCAATGCTTGGATCATGAGTCTCCATATTAACATTCCAAATTCTTGACACTGCCATCGGGAGTAGCTCATCTGCAACACTGTTAGCAACCCCCAAAAGCGCAAGCTGTTGTGAATCTGTCTCAGCTTTAAAGGGAAGAGTCTCCTTCAGCTCTGTAATGCCATCATCCTCTGAAGGACTAGGTAAAGCTTTAGTTAGAAGGTCCACATAATTATCAAATAGTTGCACAGTTCTACTTAAAAGATTTCCCCCGAACTGTAGAATGGCCAAGGGAGTCAGCTGGTCAACAATATCCTGCAGTTCCATAAAAGAGACATTAAGAACCCAATAGACGGAAGATATTTGAGCAAGTTATATTAGATCATCTCATCTGAAAAAGGCTGGTGCTTTACCATATGGTGGAATTAAAAGGAAAAGGTGTAAATGAATCAAGCACAACGACATTGAATAAGTGATTTTGCTCAAACCATAAACCAAAAAAATTTGCTATTAAAGCATTGCGCCACAAGTATCAAAAATATTTGCTATTAAAGTGTAGCGCCACAAGTACCCACAACAGCTTTTTTTCCTTACCCTACCAAACCCCCTGAAACTAACCTGCATCTAATCCAAAACCTCTGAAGGACAAGATTTCTCATGCAATGCAAACAGCTCCTTCTAAGGTTACTTGCCAGTTGCCACTTCACACCGTAGAAATATATGTGAACAAGACTCACTATGCTCACACAGATATCAAGTGAAATAAAGTATTCTGGC